ATATACGATCGATAGTTTGTTTTTGTCTTCTTTTTTTAATCAAAATATTCACCTTTGTTGAATTTGTGGAAAAATACATGAAAGTGAGATGATTATGTTCTTTCTCTTAAAAAAAAAATAATAAGAATCAAAATTAACGTATTGAATTTTGTGAAATATGTGCAAATAACGGAAAAAGGAAGGCATTGAATTTTATATGCATTATCAAATTTTATTTTTTTTATGTCCAACCTTACTTCTAAGTTTGGAGACCATTGGAGACCATAACATTAACAATATTTACCTAAAAATGTAGAACTGTATTTAAATTCAAAGCCGCCACTAGGGCTTGTAGTGAGAGAACCTTGGTCACATCAAATTTTTAAAAAGTTAAATTTGACCCCTATAATGAAAAGTTGTTTCAATTAAGTTACTCCAAATTTTATTTTATTTTATTATGACCCTAGTTCTATGTGTTTAATTTTTTCTTCATCCTCATATTGTTTTAATTTTGACCCTTGTAACTCATACAATATTTCTTGTATTATTAATTAGTAAAATTAATATCGTATCCGATTTTATAGATTTTATAAATTTTAACTTATGTTTTTATGATTTGAATGGATTCTTGAATTATCATCTATCTTTATATAGTTTGTGAAACTTTAATATCGAAATGCTTTCAAACAATTTTTAGTAATATATCAGATTTTTTAGTTCAACAAATCTACCTAAATAATGTAGTTTAAAAAAGAAAAAAGATCGGTAATGCAATATATACTATCAATAGTTTTTTTTCTTTTTGTCTTCTTTTTTCTATATCAAATTTGACCTTTGTTGAATTTGTGGAAAAATACATGAAAGTGAGATTATAATGTGCTTTCTCTTAAAACAACTTAATAAGAAACAAAATTAACGTATTGAATTTTGTGAAACATGTGCAAATAACGGAAAAAGAAGGCATTGAATTTTATATACATTATCAATTTTTTTTTTTTTTTTATATCCAACCTTACTTCTAAGTTTGGAGACTATTGGAGACCATAACATTATCAATATTTACCTAAAAATGTAGAACTTTATTTAAATTCAAAACCGTCATTAGGGCTTGTAGTGAGAGAACCTTGGTCCCATCAAATTTTAAAAAAGTTAAATTTGGTCCCTATAATGAAAATTTGTTTCTATTAGTCTCCTCCAAATTTTATTTTATTTTATTATGACCCTAGTTGTATGTGTTTGATTTTTTCTTCATCCTTATATTGTTTTAATTTGACCCTTGTAACTCATAGAATATTTCTTGTATTATTAATTAGTAAATTTATTTTAATTAGTAAAATTAATATCGTATCCAATTTCATAGATTTTATAAATTATAACTTATATATTTTTTTAATTTTAACGGATTATTGAATTGTCGTGTACCCATATATAGTTGTGAGACTTTAATACGAAGAATGCTTCGAAACAATTTTTAGTAATGTATCAGATTTTTTAGTTCAACCAAGCTCCCTAAATAAAATAGTTTAAAAAAGAAAAAAAAAGATACTAGTAATGTAATATATACTATACATAGTGTTTTTTTTTCTTTTTTCTTTTTATCAAAATATTGACCTTTGTTGAATTTGTGGAAAAATAGTTGAAAGTGAGATGATTATGTGCTTTCTCTTAAAAAAAAATAATAAGAAACAAAACTAACGTATTGAATTTTGTGAAATATGTGCAAGTAATGGAAAAAGAAGGCGTTGAATTTTATATGCATTATCAATTTTTTTTTTTTTTTTTTTTTTTTTTTTTTTTTTTATGTCCAACCTTACTTCGAAGTTAATTCGGAGACCATAATATTATCAATATTTACCTAAAAATGTAGAACTGTACTTAAATTCAAAGCCGCCACCAGGGCTTGTGGTGAGAGAACCTTGGTCCCATCAAATTTTTTAAAAGTTAAATTTGGCCATTATAATGAAAAATTGGTTCATTTAGGCTCCTCCAAAAAAAAATTTATTCTATTTATGACCCTAGTTCTATTTGTTTAATTTTTTATTCATTCTTATATTGTTTTAATTTTGACCCTTGTAACTCATACAATATTTCTTGTGTTATTAGATTTGAAATAGTTTATGATGAACAAGATATATTCAAAAGCAATTTAAGATATATGTTCATAATGATTTTAATTGCTAAATTTAATGTTGTATCTGATTTTATAGATTTTATAAACTATAACTTATATTTTAGTGGTTTTAGTGGATTTTTGAATTGTCATGTACGTCTATATAGTTTGTGAGACTTTAATATCAAAATGCTTACGGACAATTGTAATAATGTATCAAATTCTTTAGGTAAATCAATATCACTAAATAAAGTAGTTTAAAGAAAAGAAAAGGACATTGGTAATGCAATATATACTATCCTTATTTTTTGTTTTCTTCGTCTTTATTTTTTTATCAAAATATTGACCTTTGATGAATTTGCAGAAATTTCATGAAAGTGAGATGATTATGGTCTAAATGTTGTTGTTATAGTTAGTTGCACTATTGTTTAGCTAAAATCTAATTTACTTGATTGAAAGGGTATTGATTATTTACTATTATACTCTTAGATTTCAAAATATCTGTTTAGATTTATATTGGTTAATAAAATTAGGAATGTATCTAACTTGTAGATTTTTTGAACAATAACTTATATTTTTATAGTCCTTAAGAATTTTTAAATTGTCATGTGTCTTTCTATAAGTTTGTGGGACTTTAATGTTAAGAATCCTTGCGAACAATTTTAGGAAATAGTTTTAAAAAAGAAAAAAGACATTGATAATGTAACATATATCATTTTTAGTTTTTTTTTTCATCAAAATATTGACCTTTGTTGAATTTGTGATAAAAAAAAAACCATGAAATTGCGATGATTATGTTCTTTTCTTCAAACAATTAGAAACATAATTAACGTATTGAATTTTGTGAAATATATATGTGCAAACAACGGAAAAGAAAGCATTGAATTTTACATACATTATCAATAGATCAACTTAAATGTTGTTTCATTCCATTATGCCCTTAAGCATTTAAAACATCATGGTTCTAATTTCCATTATTTATTTATTTATTATGATATACTCTTAACATAGTTAAAGTAGTTAGTGTTAAATTGCACCAGGAGTACCTCCATAATTAAAATAATAATTTCAGCTATTTTGCATGATAGCCATTTATGGTATAGAGTGATTACCACCAACCATATGTTAATGGCGTCATCTGTCATTGTAGAAAGGTATTTAAATTCAAATCCGCCACTGCAATGAAAGGTTGTGGCGAAGGAACTGTAGTCCCCAAAAATTTTAAAAAGTTAATTTTGGTTCCATAGTGAAAGGATGTTTCAATTAGGCCCCTGCCAAAATTTCGACCCTATTTCTATATGTTTAATTTTATCTTCTTCCTTGCATTTTATTATTATTATTATTGCCCCTGTAACCCATACAATATTATTCTCTAACTACATTTGAAATAGCTTAAGGTGATCAAGGTATGTTCAAAACCAACTATTTTGTGCAAATTTTTAGGAATGAATTCCTTGCATGGTGCAATGCTACTGTTATAATTCGTTGTACTATTTCTTAGCTAAAAGCTAATTTAACTATTGATTATTTATTATGTTCTTAGATTTCCAGAGGCCTGTTTAGATTCAATTTAATTAGTAAATTTAAGACCATATCTGATTTGTAAATTTTTTGAATCGTAACTTATATTTTTAAAGTTGGATTCTTGAATTGTTGTGTGCCTCTATATAAGTTTGTGTTTACCTTGTTTTTAAAAGATTCTTCTAGATACATTGCTTCTATTGAGAAGGCTTTGTAAATAGACCTTTATAGTATGAAATAATTAAATTCTGCATGTTTCTTCGGTTTTTCTTTCTTTACATTTGATGTTATTGACAAAGATGGTGATGATATATATTAGTTTTTCTTAGATATCTTTATTTTATGTTGGAGCTATGATTAATTTTTTTCGAAACGAAAATGATAAAATTTAATTCCTCTCATTAAATGTGACTTCGGGATTCAAATTCTGTACATTAGTAAAAAAACTTATTTAGGGATCAACTCGTTTATCATAAAGCAGCCAACAATTTGTTGGTGTGATAATGATTTTTTAAAAGTAGAACATGTATAACCAAATTAACATCATTTGCGGATTTCATGAGCATAACAATTTTTTTTAACATAACTCAGAGAATTTTCCATGAAGGGAATTTAAAAAGGTGAAATTTCTATTAATTTATGTCTTTTAAAGAGTACCTTAGCTAATGTGTCATGTAAAATATTGTAATAATTTTTACATAAATGTTATAGTGTCAAGGCGTCTCTCCAAAAACTAAAAGTAGAACATTGCAATTTCAAGCAAAAACTTGTTGTTTACGTTCAAAAAGAGGTATATGCTTTATCCGGTAAGTCTCCCACTCTCACTTCGATTTTAACATATGAGTTACACACAATTTTCATTTATTTTCTAATTTCTTTTCTTTTTTATTTTTAAATCTCAACATGATCTTTAGGATTCTCAAGTTCATAGATTTTCTCATTAGCTATTTTGCAGATAGCTATTTATGGTATATATGTGATTACTACCAACTACAGACTTGTATTTTTCTTTTTTTTTAATACTTACCAATAGTAGAATATTCTTAGATGAATTTTTGTATCAATCAAAACTAATTCTATTATTTTTTTTTTATATCTAAACCAATATCAAAACATAAACTTTGGTTAACCACTGAACTGTCTATTAAGCCAAATTAACACCAACCACAAATTTCTATTTTTCGTATTTAAATGGTGTAATCTATCATTGTAGAAGCAATAATAGTTGCCTGTTTAGTGACATGTTAGTTTCTTGCTTAATTTTTGCCTATTTATATACTCCAATTGGGATTGCCATTCTACTAGACAATCTTTCACTTTTTATTTTTTTATTTCTTCTAAATAGCCTCCACTCAAGCAACAGTTTGTTTCTCCCTTTAGTACATTCAGAATGGGTAGCACTCCCTTGCGCCAACAACTTAGCCTCATGAGGCAATCATTCTTTGATGAGGTCTTCTTCTTCTTCTTTTTTATTTTGGGTGTTGGCCAACTTTTGCCACCAATTATCCTTGGTGATGGAAAGGGCAATGAAGCATTTTCTCTAAGGAAGAATTTCGAAGTGATTTATGTATCTTATATTTTTTTTAAGTGCGCAAAGTACCAAGAATACACTAACATTTTGGACTTGCATGTTGATTATTGTAGGGACTTCTGGACCATGGACAAGTGAGTTATCTTGAGACTCTTGAAAATGAAGATGATCCTGACTTCATTGAAGATGTGTTTAGCTTGTTTTTGAGGGATTCATCTCGATACATTGCTGCTATTGATAAGGCATTGTAAGTAGATTTAATAATAATTAATTGAATTTTTTTTTCCCCTTCCTGACATTCAATATTTTCCGTAGGGAGACAACCCCTGATGATTATCCCTTCATCCTCGAAAGAATGATGTATCGGCTTAAGGGCAGTAGTGCAAGGTAGGAATATTTTCTGTTTTTTTTTTTCCCCCGCTTTAAAGAAGGGTAGATAACACTATTTTATGTCTTTTAGCATTGGTGCAGCCAAAATCAATGAAGAAACCAATAAACTCAGAGAATTATGCCATAAAGGGGACTTGAAAAGGTAAAATTATATTACTTTATGTCTTTGAAAAGTACCGTAGCTAATGTTACATGCAAAATATAGTAGTAATTTAATTTAGCATAAATTAATGTTTTAGTGCCAAGGCGTCTCTAAAAAAATTGAAAGAAGGACATGCAGCTTTCAAGCAAAAACTAGCTGTTTATGTTGGGGTATTTCTCTCGTTCTCACTTCCATTTCAATTTTTGAATTGCACAATTTTCTTGCATGTTCTTATCCATTTGCTTTTCGTTTTTCAGTTGTTGAAGCAAGCCAAGCTCTCTGATTATTGAGTAAAGCAGAGAATCTCTAGATGAGATGGGATTTGGTTGGGGAATTGGTGTGGAAGGAAAATGAAATCCAAGGATTTACCCTTTCTTTAAAGCTCATGGCTTTTTGTTTTTTTGTTTTAAGTATGTTAGGTATCAAGCCTTTTATGGCTAGTTTAGTAGGTTATTAGAATCTTGATTTCCTGTAGCTTCTCTTTTTGGAAAATAAATGTACAAGAAATCAGATTTTATGCCTTTTCATTGTATCTGTATTAGAGATTTCTGATCTCATCCTCAAAATATAAAAATAAAAATTTGTTAAAAAGAAGATGTTCAAACTAGAGATTTCTTAGATTGTGCATGTGCATATTTTATAATATATTTTAATAAATTGTATAGTAATGCTATTTTTCAAGAAAAAAATTTGACAAGAATAAGTTCCAAGAATGATGTGAATAATCCTATTTGAAAAAGACTAAAAATAGATCAAATTAGTTCACAGAAACACTGGGTTTAGCCCCTCTTGGGTGAGTATACTCAACAAGGCAAACAAGCTCAGCACAAGGAATTTACTTATGAACGTGAAAATAATTCAACAAAAGTGAAAATTATTCTACTTCTAATAAATATTTTTGTAAGGAAGGTTTACAGTAAAATCCAGCTAATTAAAAGTTCACAATTAAGAAACAAAAATTACATTACCAAGATTGTTATTAAATTTTTTTAATTAAAATACTAGCTAATGTCAAGTACTGTAGATAAAGTTCGTTCATATAGGCAGCCCCTTGGCACTTAATTAGCAGCATACCATATGTTAATCCTGAAGTAGTCCTCCATGCATGGCCAAATCAAAGCTAATTAAATATATTACGGACGGCATTTACCAAAAGGTCAGCAGAATATCAATTAGACATATAGCTAGCCTGTGTGTTTGCTCCTTATAATTGACATGGATTTGGACAGGAAAGGAAAAGAAAAAGGACTGTATAAGAAGACTCTTTCAACCGGACGGCATAGATGCAGCTGGTTTACAGCTTAATTCAATTGATTGATTAATTAACTATCTCCTCTACCTCTCGAATGTATATATATAAAGGAAGTATGAGGCATATTTGATTCACAACTGAAAACTTGATTAATAGATTCCTGGTATCCAAGTAATTGTTTCAAAGAGCTTCTCTACTTTGGACTTGGAAAATGGCTGCTCCCATTCTTTTCTTTGGATTCCTGGCTTTGTTCTTCTCCTTTGCCCTAGCATCGGATCCAAGCCCACTTCAAGATTTCTGTGTGGCAGATGGAGATAGCAATGGTATATGTAAATCTGTTGAAGATATTATCCTATCTATATATTTTTACATCACTTGATTTTAGTGATTATGTTGTCTTAGTATTAGTTTCTTTAACGATACATTTTCACTATTTTATGGCAGTTCTTGTCAATGGTTTGGCTTGCAAGGACCCCAAGAATTTTCAAGCTAGTCACTTCTCTTTCAGTGGACTTCACCTGGCAGGCAACACATCAAATTCTGTGGGGTCTAGGGTAACCACAGTTAATGTGGCCCAAATACCAGGACTTAACACTCTTGGAATTTCTCTTGTTCGAATTGACTATGCACCATGGGGTATCAACCCTCCACACACACACCCTCGTGCCACCGAAATCTTGACAGTCCTTGGTGGTTGTCTTGAAGTTGGATTTGTTACATCTAACCCTGAAAACCGTCTCATCACAAAAATTCTACAAAAGGGTGATGTGTTTGTGTTTCCTATTGGCCTTGTTCATTACCAAAGAAATGTGGGAAACGGTAATGTTGTTGCCATTGCAGCTTTGAGCAGCCAGAATCCAGGAGTGATCACCATTGCAAATGCTGTGTTTGGTTCTAGCGCAGAGATTCCTGTTGACATTCTTGCAAAGGCTTTCCATTTGGACAAGAATGTAGTCAATTCCCTGCAATCAAAGTTCTAGACAAGAAATGGAAAATGGTGGAACAAGAGAGAGAATTGGTTTGGCCATTAATTAATTTCCTTGTAATTAATTCATTAGTCTTATACTTGTCTTTGTGTGTGGATGGCATCAATTTGTATTGTGAGGATTCAAAGGCGTTTCGTTATTGAAATATATCTTCGTGTATCAAATCATTCATTTTCTGCCTTAAATTCATGTTTGTTCTGCCTAATCTACTTTCTTTTTTAGCTAGCCACCTGATGTGACTTCAATTTACAGGTCTCTTTTATGGATGAACCCAATTACCAAAATTTAGAGAATCGCAATCTAATTAAACGATATATAGAGAATCAATCAGTCAAATCCAATTGACTAATTTGGCTTAAGGTTCAATTGCCCCTTTTCTTTTGAGAAGTAATGTGTGATTTTTCTTTTTAATGGGTGCAGTAATGGACCTGTGACATAGTTACTTAATGGATAAGACAAGACAAAAGCTGCCTCTTGGCATGTCTATGATGAGTAATGTAAATAACGTGTCCCACAATAGACGCAAATTAGCATACCAAAACTGTACACTTGTATCCTATTCCTACATTTTGTGACTGCATGCTGTAGAGGCATAGGGCTACTTAAGCCTGTATAAATAGATCACCATGTTGTGCCTACTTCAATTAACGCCTACTCTTTAACAGTCGAATGTGAAGGAGAAGGTCAAGCAAGAACACCATGAAGATATACCATTCAGCTTGTTATCTTATAAGTGTTTGCATTTGCATATCTTTGATGGCATATAGCATATGGTATTAGCACTAATCATTCATGGAGACCTAGCTAGAGTGCAGGTCCCATTGCACTCATTAGGAATGTCGGTAATAGTTGAGAGTCATATGCAGTTATCAAGCAGCTTGATTTTGCCTTTTCAGCCTATTGTTCTTTGCATTTTCATCTAGTGTTGAGTTATCCCACAACGGTTCTAAAAAGAGTTAGGTTCATGGTAATAAGTGTGAGGGGAAAAAAACCTCATTTTTTGATCTAATTTTTGGAGTTGAGATTGTCCAATAGAATCCAATACTGGTACCAAAGTTTAGGTTAAAAAATTTTTCGTGTGCCAACACCACACAAGTTCATGAAAAGTAGCTAACGTTTGATCCAATACATAAAGGAGGAGATATTGGGTTATTCCATTATGAAAAGGACTGAGTATTTGGTCATAAGCATAGTTTTAAATCATATATGATAGTCGCTACTTGCAGATCACGATTTACTATAAGACTAAAATAATAATAACGGGATGTCTCAAAATCGTTAAATAACAACTATTATATACCGTAACGGTTGTTATTTAAAACTATACTTATAAGTATGAGGAGAAAACCTCACTTCTTAAGCTAAATAATGGTCGTTATTTAGGAAGGGCTAGCTGATAATGTTAAACACATTACTTATGAATCTTGAGTTCTAATAAATGTTTTTTGCTATTCAAATTCTACTGAATGATTATTGGTGCACTGCATCCTTGAATAGAAGGGAATCAGCTTTGAAGAATATGGATGTGAATTCACTCATTTCAAAGTTATGTATGTTCCTATTGTATATTCTTTTCCTGGCTATATTTAGATATGTGTGTATGGACCATATGTTGTTGGTTTGGATGGATTATTGTAGAATGAAACTGTAATTGTGTTAGTGTCCTCAAGCCCTAGGTTTAAGGATATTTTTGAACTTGAACAACTAATTTAAATGTTATATATATATATAGAAAAATAAAATGTAAATATCCATGTTTCTGTAGTCATGAAGTTGAAATAATTGTCAGTTTTTTAATGATAAAATGGGTACAAATTCTTCTACTTGAAGTTTCTTCCTGCAGGGTACAACATATTCTGGAAATCAAGAAAAGTTATTGCATGAGTTGAAGATATGTACTCAGATACATTTACCTCAATACACGGCTCAAAGAGTCTTTATATCTTAGCTTACAAGTATCAGAATTGCTTGTTTTTGCTCCATAAATTTCCCTTCATTTTATGAGAATGCCTTGTTGTGTTCGTCAGAAGAAGAGATCGAATCGATCAAGAGATGTGGATTCGTTCACAAGGAAGGTATGCATGTATAATCCTGTCCTTTAACTCTGGTCTTCCTGTTCTCCTTTGTTAGCTCTTGTTACCTTGTTCTGTAATTCACCTGTTAATGAGTTAGATTCTTGAAATTCAAATTATGCATTTTGTCTGGGAGAATTTTCCACTGTAGAATGCAGATTATAGTCGAGAAGATGAACTTTATAAATAAATTCCGGAAGCAAATGAAGCACATACCTATTAATTTCCGGTGAAAAGATTTGGTTAAGATGAACTTTATAAATAACCTGCTTTATGAGGCATAAACTTCCTTCTTTTTTTTTTTTTTTTTTCTATCACTAATGAGGTAGATGAGTTGATCGGATAGGAGACAACCGTCCAACCTATAGAGGGCAGTCCATTCCCTGCCATTCCACCAACTAGAATCTGCATATGCCATCCAACAGGAAATAGCATTTTGAGACCTCAGTCAGATGGTACCATGCAATTTCTATGCTCTATTAAAGGACATGAACCAAAAGAGAGATTTATTTATGATTGAATAGGGTAAAGTTACATTACAAGCCAAAACTTCATGTGATACAACAATTTGAAAATTTGTCAACTCAATTGGGTTACCAAACTCATGTCAAGAAACATAATTCTACATAGAAGATAAGGTGCCTAATCAATCCACTATCTCGTATTGGAAACCTGTCTGGCTTCAATATCCTGAAGTCTAAGAGTTACAGCTCTCTTGTGGGCGTCCAGCCCTTCAACTTCTGCCATGGTTGCCACATAAGGGCCAAGCTTTCGGAGACCTTCCTCTGTCAAGGACTGCACTGTCATATATTTCCGGAAAGAGTCCAAGGATACCCCACCATACATCCTTGCATATCCATATGTTGGAAGACCGTGGTTTGTCCCACTTGCATAATCCCCAACACTCTCTGGTGTCCACGGGCCCAAGAACACAGAACCTGCAGTGAAAAACATCCGAGGCTAAGTCTTGATATTTATTCTCTTTTAGAACAGTTGGGGACATTCACTTGCTTAAAAAGCTAGAAATAGAGTGGCATAAAAAGTGACAGTAACAACGTGGACGAAGATGGCAACAAAGCTGAAGAGAATACTAGAGTAGATGCAATAGCAAGATGGCATTGAAAGACCATACCTGCATTCTCAATAAAGCTCTCCCACTTTTCTGCTTCTTTTACATTAATGATCAAATGCTCTAAGGCTCAGGTGCATATAAGTTTGAAAAGGAGACAGCCTAAAAGAACCAATAATCAAGTTATTAGAAAACGAAAGAAAATTTAAGCAATTTCTATACTGACTAACAATTTTAGGATTGTATCTCATTCTCTATATCAATCAATCTCACTGAAATAGTTTTAAAAAAGAAAAAAGACATGGATAATGTAATATATATCAATTTTAGTTTTTTTTCCAATCAAACTATTGACCTTGGTTGAATTTGTGAAAAAATACATGAAATTGCAGTGATTATGTTCTTTTCTTCAAACAATAACAAACATAATTAAGTATTGAATTTTGTGTTAATTTTTTGGAATTCATCTCAACAATTCCTTGCATGGTCTTTTTTTTTTTTTTTAATAAAAGTCGATAATATATAAAAGAGAAAAAAGCCAACAAGAAAGCGGCTATAGTAACAATTTAGAATATAAATAAAAAGATAAACTAAACAACATGCTTTCTAAAAATAGCAAAACTAGACCACAACAATTCCTTGCATGCTCTAATTGCCATTTTTATAATCAGTTTCATTATTATTTAGTTATAAACTAATTTAACTTATTAAGAGACTATGGACTATTTACTATAATTTTATATTCTCGAGATATCTATTCAGATTTATTTTAATTATTAAATTTAATATTGTATCCAATTTCATAGATTTTATAAATTGTAACTTATATTTTTAATGATTTTAATGGATTCTTGAATTGTGTATTTTTTATATAGTTTGTGAAACTTTAATATCGAGAACGCTTTCGGATAATTTTAGGTAATATATCAGATTTTTAGTTCAACTAATCTCCCTAAATAAAGTAGTTTAAAAAAGAAAAAAAGAACAGGAATGCTATATATACCATCGATTTTTTTTTTTGTCTTCTTTATTTTTTTTATTAAAATATTGACCTTTGTTGAATTTGTGGAAAAACACATGAAAGTAAGATAATTATGTTCTTTCTCTTAAAAAAAATAATAAGAATCAAAATTAACGTATTGAATTTTGTGAAATATGTGCAAATAACGGGAAAAAAAAAGGCAATGAATTTTATATACATTATCAAATTTTATTTTTTTTTATGTCCAACCTTACTTCTAAGTTTGGAGACTATTGGAGACCATAACATTATCAATATTTACCTAAACAATGTAGAACTGTATTTAAAATCAAAGCCGCCACTAGGGTGGTGAGAAAACCTTGATCCCATCAAATTTTTAAGAGTTTAAATTTGGCCCCTATAATGAAAAGTTGTTTCAATTAGACTCCTCCAAATATTTTTTATTTTATTTATGACCCTAGTTCTATGTGTTTAATTTTTTATTCATCCTTATATTGTTTTTAATTTTGACCCTTGTAACTCATACAATATTTCTTGTATTATTAATAAGTAAATTTAATTGGTAAATTTAATATCGTATCTAATTTCATAGATTTTATAAATTGTAACTTATATTTTTATGATTTTAATGGATTCTTGAATTGTCGTATATCTTTATGTAGTTTGTGAGACTTTAATAGTAAGAATGCTTTTAGACAATTTTTAGTCACTTACCAGATTCTCTAGTTCAATGAATCTCTTAAAATAAAGTAGCTTGCTTTTGCCTTTTCAACCTATTGCTCTTTGCTTTGTCATCTAGTGTTGAGTTATCCCACAATGGTTCTAAAAAAAAAGTTAGGTTCATGGTCATAAATGTGAGGGAAAAACCTTAATTTTGAGCTAGTTTTTGGAGTTGAGATTGTCCAACAGAATCCAATATTGGTATCAAAGTTTAGGTTAAACAATTTTTTGTGTGGCGAAGCCACACAAATTCATGAGAAGTGGCTAACTTTGGATCCAATGCGTGAAGGTGGAGATATTGGGTTATTCCATTATAAAAAGGACTGAGTATTTGGTTATAAGTGTGAGCAGAAAATCGCACTTCTTGAACTAAATAAAGGGTTAAGAGTGCCTAATAGCACCTAACATTTAGGAAGGGCTAGCTGATCATGTTAAACACATTACTTATGAATCGAGTTCTCATAAATGTTTTTGGCTATTCAAATTATACTGAATGATTATTGGTACACTGCATCCTTGAAGAGAAGGGAATCAGCTTTGAAGAGTATGGATGTGAATTCACTCATGCCAAAGGTATGTATGTTCCTATTGTATATTCTTTTCCTGGCTAAATTTTGGTATGTATGTATGGACCATATGTTGTTGGTTTGGATGGATTATTTTTGAACCCTAGGTTTAAGGATATTTTTGAACAAGAACAACTAATTTAGATGTTATATATATATATATATATATATATATATATATATCCATGTTTCTGTAGTCATGAAGTTGAAGTAATTGTCAGGTTTTTAATGATAAAATGGGTACAAACTATTCTACTTGAAATTTCTTGCTGCAGGGTGCAACATATTCTGGATTGCTTGTTTTTCTCTCCATAAATTGCCCTTCATTTTATGAGAATGCCTTGTTTTGTTCTTCAGAAGAAGAGATCGAATCGATCAAGAGATGTGGATTCGTTCACAAGGAAGGTATGCATGTATAATCCTGTACTTTAACTCTGGTCTTCCTGTTCTCCTTTGTTAGCTCTTGTTACCTTGTCCTGTAATTCACCTGTTAAGGAGTTAGATTCTTGAAATTCAAATTATGCATTTTGTCTGGGAGAATTTTCCACTGTAGAATGCAGATTATAGTCGAGAAGATGAACTTTATAAATAAATTCCGGAAGCAAACGAAGTAAATCGCTATTTATATCCTGTGAAAAGATTTGGTTAAGAAAGTCATGTATTTTCTGTTGTTATCATTTGACCATTTATGCTATTTACCTGTGATTCAAGGAGGAAAGTGGATATGACTCTTCCAGCGAAGATGAAAATGAGGAAGGAGAGGAGGAGTCTTCGAGTCGAAATGTCGCCCATGGATACCATATGATCAGAGGAAAAATGGGCCATGGAATGGAAGATTATGCAGTAGCACAAAACAGAAAAATCAATTGACATGAGATAGGGCTTTATGCGATTTTCGATGGTCACTCCGGTCGTGAAGCTGCAGAATATTTGCAATCACATCTGTTTGATAACATCTTGAGTGAGGTAGGAACATTGAAGGCTTGAAGCTGACTTCACTTTATATTTTTGGTGTATAAGAATTTTTCAAGCGGGAAATTCTTATTTTCTGCACTCACATTTTCAGCCTGATTACCAGGCAAATCCGAAACGTGCAATCAAGAGGGCAAGATGTAAGGTTACTGATAATGAGATTTTGGATGGAGTAGTGGCTGAATTCATAATTTTGGGGAGTGATGGCTTGCGGAAGGTGAGAAAGATTAAGGGTTTACTTTGCCTAACCTCTGCAAATTGTTACCTTGGTGGCTGCATATCTGAGTGAGCATAGCAGAATCAGACATTATTTTGATGATGTTTTCCTCGGAAATAAATCCTAACAACCTGTTATACGCAGGTGATGTCAAACCACTGAGGCTTATGATTGCATCGCCGATTTGGACAATGCTGAAGAAGCAGCAAAGAAGTTGATTGAAGAGGCATTAGCCAGGGGAAGCATGGATGATATCTCTTGCATAGTTGCAGCTTTTCTCTAATCATGTTCTTGTTAAGCTCCTGACAACAACTGAGCACTAGTCTTTGCTTCTTGCTGTAACCTGTTTTCTGAGGCATATACTTCCTTCTCTTTTCCTGCCACTTGTGAGGTGGATGAGTAGATAGGATAGGAGTCCATCATCCAGCCTCTAGAGGGTACCATTTTGAGACCTCAGTCAGATGGTACCATGCAATTTCGATGCTCAATTAAGGACATGGACCAAAAGAGAGATTTATTTATGATTGAATAGGGTAAAGTTACATTACAACCCAAAACTTCATGCGATACAACAATGTGAAAATTTGTCGACTCAATTGGGTTACCAAACTCATGTCAAAAAAATAATTCTACATAGAAGATCAGGTGCCTAATCGATCCACTATCTCGTATTGGAAACCTGTCTGGCTTCAATATCCTGAAGTCTAAGAGTTACAGCTCTCTTGTGGGCATCAAGCCCTTCAACTTCTGCCATGGTTGCCACATAAGGACCAAGCTTTCGGAGACCTTCCTCTGTCAAAGACTGCACTGTCATATATTTCTGGAAAGAGTCCAAGGATACCCCACCATACATCCTTGCATATCCATATGTTGGAAGGACATGGTTTGTCCCACTTGCATAATCCCCGACGCTCTCTGGTGTCCATGGGCCTAAGAACACAGAACCTGAAGTGAAAAACAGCCGAGGCTAAGTCTTGATATTTATTCTCTTTTAGAACAGTTGGGGACATTCACTTGCTTAAAAAGCTAGAAATAGAGTGGCATAAAAAGTGACAGTAACAACGTGGACGAAGATGGCAACAAAGCTGAAGAGAATACTAGAGTAGATGCAATAGCAAGATGGCATTGAAAGACCATACCTGCATTCTCAATCAAGCTCTCCCACTTTTCTGCTTCTTTTACATTGATGATCAAATGCTCAGGTGCATACAAGTTTGAAAAGGAAACAGCCTAAAAGAACCAATAATCAAGTTATTAGAAAAGGAAAGAAACTTTCAGCAATTTCTATACTGCTAACAATCCATTAGTACAGTTTGGGAGGTAATATACAGGGGCTTGTCAAAAACATTTTGCGTACTTGCTATCAACATAGCTTGCCAAAAACCTGAAGTGTATTCTGATAATTACGATTCAAAAACTGCATGTTACAATTCCTTAGACAGAACTGATTTGATTGCCTCCCATATAATTGTAGATATCCTAACCGTGCAGAGAAAGCAACTTTCATAGGATTGAAGCTACAAATACCCACACATTAAAATTTTCAAACAGTGGACTGACCTCAACCATGTCGCGAGCAAAGACAATTAAACTGTGGCTCAGGGCTTTCGAAGCATAGTCACCCCTTGGTAGACTTTGACACTGCTTACTTATTTCCTCTTCAATGGCTTTCATATCCACACCATCCCCAGCAACTACAAGTACAACCTGACTATCAGGGCCATGTTCAGCCTGAAAAATGCAAATAATTTAATAAGAGCACCAGGAAAGATAATCTATGGCATGAATGAATACAATAAACATCTAATCCATGATAGAAAACTAAGCCTTTGAAAAAGGTTGTAAAGGCAATTTTGATTTAATTTTTGACATTGATGATTGAAAAATGTAACAAAGTGAAAATTTTAGTCTCATGCCTGATACCGAGCACAGGTATAGCCCTTTATAAGGTTGACTAAATATATCACATAGTTAATATCTTATCATATTGCAATGTAGTATAATACTAAAGAGTCAAAGACAACACATTTTGATATATCAGTTTATCCTGCTTTGCCTCAGGGACACAAAATAATTTTGTTCACCTGCTTTCCATACATATCTGTCACAATGTAGAATGTTATTAACTAAGGAGGATTATATGCAGATGGAATATATATGCCACTGACATAACACGAATATGAACATATAACTAAAAAGAAACAGCTTACGCACTTGGGATAGTAAATCTGCAGCTATATGAACAGGACTAGCATATCTGTCAGCAATGACTAAAACTTCGGAAGGTCCAGCAGGCATGTCAATTGAAATCATTGCTTCACTGTTCTGTTATGTAAATAACAGCAAAAAGCAAACTGAGTCAAACTGGAAAAAAGATCAGCATTTCTAGCCAAACAGAAAAATAGATAAAGTTATTGAGACTAATAGACCTCAATAACTTCTAATTAGAGAGAGTATCCATACTTGGAGAATCATTTTTGCAGCTGTCACATACTGATTTCCTGGTCCGAAAACCTTCTCAACCTACAAATTTCAACCGAAAAAAGCTAGCTCGTTACAACAAGTAAAGAATTAGATCTCTAAAGTGACTAAAAAGTTTCTAAATACAAATGCTTGCAATATCTAGCGTTAATACAAAACTTGTTCAAAAGTTAACTTTCTCACAGCAAAATTATAAAAAAAAATGTATTTGCAGATTTCTCAATAAGATTTTTAACATAAATTTGAGACAGTTACAGTGAGGTAAAGAGAAACACACAATATATGCACACCCAAATAGCATACAATTAGCATTTGAAATGGAAAACAAAATGAGCTTTTTGGTTTATCAATTCCATAGTAAACAACATACTACTCTGGTTAACAAACAGCAAATGCAAAACACAAGTATAAACACCACAGAGGACCAATAAAAAGATTGTGTTCTTTTTATCAGCTTCAGCTACTAACAATTGACACCTAAGTTGATGAGAAATAAATACCTTAGGGCAAGATTCTGTCCCCCAAGCCATTGCAGATATGGCCTAGAAATCAAAAGTTCGTAAGACCACTAGGAACATGTATACAATAAAGACAACTGTGCCAAGTGCAAAATATATGATCATAAGTTTGTTTTCTAACCTGAGCTCCACCAGCTTTAAGGATGTGAGTGACACCAGCCTTCTTGGCACAATACAGTACCTCCTACAGAAGACGATAAATCAACTCTCATTAAGTACATGCTTTGTATAAGTATAACATTTCAAGTACAAGAAAGTACCTTGCATATGCTGCCATCCTGAGCCGGGGGAGTCGCAAGGACAACAGTTTTACACCCAGCAATTTGTGCAGGCTGGTTTACAAAACAAACTAAAATGTCAACCAAACCAACTTAACCAGAATGTGGCAGTCATAATAAAGATAATAGAGCTTGAACCAGCCAAAATAATCGATACAAAATGCAATCAACTTACAATAGCAAGCATCAGAGCTGTGGATGGCAAAACTGCAGTCCCTCCTGGTACATAAAGACCTACAGAACCAATGCTCCGAGCCACACGTTTGCATTTAACACCCTGAAATATTTTGAAATGTTCTAAGCTTTGTATCAACAGAACATCTGTAAAGCAAGAACCAATCACTAGGATTGATATACCTTCATGTTTTCAACACTTTTTTCAGCTGATTTTTGAGCAAGATGAAATGCATATATGTTGTCATATGCCACATCAAATGCTTCCTTAACAGCTGCATCAAGCTGCAATACAGCAAATGCCAAAAAATGGAATAGAAAAAGTTACATTTAGACCAAAAATAGCAAACCATGAAATCACTGAATAGAGAAAATAAGAAATGCAAGGAATTTCTTTCATTAAAAGATATACTTTTGGAATTCACCTCTGGATCGGGAAGCTCAGAAACATTATCAACAATCTTGTTCAATTTGACTTTGTCAAATCTTGAAGTATAACTACAAATTACATATAAACAAAACCTCATTACTAAAAGAAATACAATGGTAAAACAATAATGATAAAATAGTAACAAAAGAAACAGACTCTTTAACTGCAGCATCGCCTCTTTGACGAATATCATCAACAATGGGATTAACCTAAAACATAACAGAAAACAATGCTACCTATCAGCATTTTAATTTATCAAAACTTCAATACAACAAACATAATTTTTTTTTAAAAAAAAAAAACACCCGTTTCAAAAAAAAAAAAAAAAGGGTCACTTACAATGCCAAAAATGGAAGAGAAATCAATACGAGGCCGAGCTTTCAAATTCTCAACCTCTGAATTACTAAGTTCTGACAACCTATAAGACTTCATTGCACACATTACTCTCTTCAATTTAAACCCTTCAACAAAAACAAAAGGAACCCATCAAATTAACCATAACAAGAAGAATAAAAACAAACAAAATTGAAACTTTTTCAAAGGAATACATACCCAACGAGAAATTAGAAGATGGGTTGTATCTGGGTTTTCGAGAAGCAAATAAACTGAGTCGTGGAGATTTGATTGAAGTGTTGGTCTTGTTGAGTAATAGAAGCTGGGAGTCCATTAATCACCTTCAATCAATCAGATTAATCACAATAAAGAGCATAACGAGCAATGAATTTTAGTATAAAGTTGCAAACTTTATCAGAAATTAGAACTTTTAGAGTGTACAAAGAGAAATTAAAGATGGGAACTTTAGAAAAGCAAAACGGAGGAGCTTGTTATAGAGTTACCTAGTAAGTGAGAAAGATGCTCGTGACGGTAAATGGAGAGCTGCGGTGGTTGTGGTGGCGGCTGCGGCTGTAGTGTGGTGGCGCTGCTGCTGCTGAGTTCTAGTCAAGTGTCTGTAAATTAGAGCCAGTGAACGGGAGAAGGGTGTTTTTGTTGCTCGAGGTTTTTTTTTTTTTTTGAATGAAAAAGTTTAGTATTCAGTTTCACAAAATAATTAAAAGTCAATTACAAATTAGTTTTTTTAATTTTAAAAAATTAATTAATTTAAAAAAATTATTTGATCTTTTTTGCTCTTTATGTTATTTTATAATTTTTTTATTTAAAAAATAAAAAAATAAATAAATATTATTAAAAGATTGATAAAAAAATATTTTTAAAATAAAATAATATGAAGTTTAGTACTGTCCATTCTAATTAAAGGATTAAAAATTAATTTTTAAAATAAAAAAATTCATTCATTCATTTTCAAAATTAAAAGAATTAATTTATAATTTACTTAAAAAATTAAATAAAAAAGAAATCGGTTTTTGGTTTTTCAGTTGGCTTTTTTTTTCTTTTTTTTCATGTGGTCGTTTGAAATATTGAATTTATGCTATTGGCCCTCAAAGTTTTATTTTTACCCCTCCACATATTGATTTTCTGTTATTGGCCCACAACTGTCACCCTTAGACTAAGTTCCAAAAAAAAGTTATATTCTTTAGTTTGCGTGAAAGTGGTGCAAAATCTCTGGATAATCATGACTGATAATAAAATTGGCCCAAATTCACCATACGACTAGTCTCTCAAGAGGTGAGAAAGAAGTGGAACCTTAAACTTATAAGCTACCTATGCCCTTCGACTGTAACGTGCGAAGGCAGTTCAAGGAAAGAATGGAGGCAGAAAGAGATATTGGTATCATCCACTGACAGGGATACATCATACACTACACAAGGAAAGAATGAAGGCAGGAAGAGAGCATCAAAAAAGACGGTTCAATCAATCAGTTAAAGCATAATTTGTGTATTTCTCTTACAGTACAACTACTTTCTTCGGTATTATGGACAGAAATGAAGGGTAGAGATATACAATGCTTGATGCAACAGTAACTCACCAAGCAAAAGAAATTGACATAGAAAAAAAGAATAAGAATAAACACTCCAAATTACACTGATTTTGATCACTGCAGTTCAAACACTCAAGCATCGCTGAATTATACTCACATCTGACATGTTTTGATTCAAGCTCATGGACTATCTGGAGTAGGAGTTATGTCCCGGAAAACCTGCAACCTGTTTCTCCTCTTCGTATTCACATCCTCGGCAGATTCGTAAGACAGTGAACGTCGCGCTGTGGAATTCCTTGACGATACTGTGGATGGACCGTAACTATCTTGAAGATCAGCTGCTTCAAGTTTTTGAGATATAGTTCCTAAATGATTCTCTTGATAAGAATTTTGATGAAATATGTTGGCATTTAGATTTTCATCATTAGATGCTGCTGCATAGTACCAACGATCGAAACCCTGGCCAAAGTCCGCCGCAGTTGACAATTCCTGCTCTTCTTCTTCAACCATATCTGCCCAACTCATGCAACGAGATTTGAGTGTGCTGTCCTTCTTTCCAAGAGAATTTTTTCCAACAGTTTCTACTGATTGATCGCAGTCACTGTCAGTGGAAGCTTTTGATACTCCTGCAATGTCGATAACCAGAGTCTGCTCTGTGGAACATTTTGGACTTGTGTTACTGTCTTCTGTTGCAGATTTGCTTTGGCCACCATTTTCCTGAACATTTCTTTCCCAGCTTCTATGATTATCAGTTGAGTCTAATAGTTCTCCTGAGAGATTCCGGATTGCATTCTCCTTTTTTGTCTCAGCTGTATCCTCTCCCCACCTTATCCTTCTCTGATCTCCTTTATCGAACCCCCAGGAACATCTTCTTGGTTGTGTGTATAGTTTTGGAGAAGTAAATGTCTTCTTCTGTGCAGAACTTGGGCCTGTTTCAGCGAAACTAAACCGATACTCGTTCATATTGCTGGCAAAACCAAGCTTTTCACTTGGGCTTTCAAAATAAGAGCCTCTCCTCCAGCTATTGTCAACTGCAGGCAGTGGAGAAGACTGTGGACCTCTCTGTCCAGATACTATGCATTGAGAACTCCCATTATCATATGCAGAGAAGCATTTCTCAATCACAGAGTGATCTTGCCAATAAGATCTTCTATTCTGTTCATCTGACAACACTTTCTCGTCATCAAATCCATTAGGTAAGCTAGCAACTTCGTTCAAATATCTGGTGGTAGGCAATGCCAAAGATCTTTGGTAATGATTTTCATCCTGTTCGGTTGGTTTAACTATCGAATGTGACTCTAATTCAGTCAGGATTTGACAAGCACGCTCAAAAGATTTAGCATAGGAATCATCCATTGGTTTACTTCCGGACAAAGCTTTTACGGTTTGGAGCAGAGATTTTGCTTCTGGAATTCTGTTCATGTGCATCAAGCAGATAGCCAAGTTGCACTTCTTGTTCTGATCTGGCTCCAAAGAGAGAGATTTCCTGCAAAACTAATTTTATTTCGTGAAGAAGTTTGCCATTTTCATGTCTAGAGATATCTTTCAATGAAGAAAAATAGTTTACCTGTAATATTGTTCAGCCAAACCGTAATCGTGATGCTGCAAGTAAGCCCAGGCCAAGTTCCCTAATATCCTGTATCAGTTAATGCAGAAAATGAAATAACATCCAGAGATATACAGTAAAAATTGGAAAAAAGGAAAACAAGTGGATCAAAAAACCTTGATCTTTCTTGTTCAACACTTATTTGAATCTTCCTCCCTTGAGACCTGGCAGTCTTAGTCTTCTTGCCAGAAAAAGCAATACCCTCTTCTATATGCTTCAGTTTGCGGTGAAGCATTTCAATCTCTTCTTCAATCCTTCCAGATCTCTGAAAAAGAAGAGAAATTTCAATCTCTAAACATGCATCACAACCCAATATAGCTACAAAAAGGCTAAAAAAAGGAACTCAACCCAATCGAGCCTTATTACCAAACTTGATGGGGTTGGCTAAATGGATCCGCCAACCAGATTCCTCAAAACAAACCGAAACATATCTTGAGGTCTCTTGATGAAAATATAATTATCCTTACTATCTAAAATAAACTAATTTCAGACCTTCACTACATTTCAGAACAGATGAATCCTTCAACATTAATGCAGAAAACTAGTAAACCTTACGAGGATGCTTTCCAAAGAAGACAACTCATAAATGATCTAAGATGGTTTCGTTACATGGATTTTCCTCATGAAATGTCATTATTCTAATGGACAAATCAAATTACCAAATCATCAGAGTCAACTATAACCAAAACACTACAGTTTGCAAAGAAAGAAAAAGTAACATTTCACCTTGTAGAGTTCAACCAGCACATTGTCAATAGATTCCTGAGAATCATATGGGCAGAGATGACGAAAAGATTTGATCGCCTCAATTGCCTCATCCGTTCGATCCAATTGCTTCATCACCACTGCCATGTCTTTCAAGGCACTATCAATTCGATCCCCAGCATTGATAGCAGCCCAGAATAGGGAAACGGCCTTGCTCGGATCCTTCTCTATTAACTGTAATGAAAGAGCCAAAGATCAAAATCACACACATACACAGGAACTAAACCGGAAAATTAATATCCTTGAACCTAAAATTGAATGTCACAAACTGTAATGGAAAGTGAATGGATCAAATTAACATTATCTTCATTCCCAAGGAAACTAATAAATAACCTAACAGCTCCTGCTGGTATAAGCTAATTGTATTAGTCTTCACTTCTAAGTACCAGAATTGCCCTAATCAAGTGACAATAGCTATTTATTTCAATTCCCTTTTCCTTTTCAAATATTTCTTGTCTTAAAGGCGCAATAATTCCCATCTGAAATCCACTGATTTTTCATGCAAATAAAATTCCAAACAATGAAAAATAGGTAAAAATTTCCTAAAAATCAACAGGGAAACATAATTTGTCAAATAACAACAAGAAATACTAAACTGCCAACACCAAATCTCATACTAACCTGTAATGTCCAAACCCAGAATTGACAACAAAAAGATCAATAAAATTGAACTTTCAGGAACGAGAAATTTCAAAACAAAAAAAAAAAAAAAAAAAAAAAAAAAAGAAGAAGAAGAAGAAGATAGATTAAATCAACTTATGCAAGAATTTAGAGGTTCAATTTATAGATTAAATCAACTTATGCAAGAATTAACCAAAACAGACATAAATCCATACTTTAACCTCTTCTCTCTTAATTTCAACCAAGCAGATGGTTAGGAGGGAAAAAACCATCAAAAAGAAAGAAGAACGCACCAAAATTCATGAACCGTAACTACCATTCAACAATTAATACTCTTTAAGAACCGATATAGTTTCCAACTAAAACAACACGAGACAAGAACTAATTAAAATAAACTCAAAACCCACCAAGACAAGAACTTTTTCAAAAACCCCAAAAAGTAGTTAATCTAAACAACAAAAGAACCCTTAAAAATTATTACCTGAACATGTTTGGCTCTAACATAAGGAGAATCACCAGCAGGAACTTTGTGAATAACATGAAAAAGATCACGTTTACAATTAGGAGAAGACACCCTTTCTTTCCTCTCTGACATTGGCATCATCGCCAACCCCGGAGAATGCGGAGTCCTCCATGACGCTGGCGGCGTCCAGAAGCCCCTTTCCGGAGAATTATTGTCTTTGTTGTTATTAGACGTCGACCACATTTTCAAGAGAAAGTACTACTCTTCAAGACCCTTTTCTTGAATTTTTTTTCAAGAAAGTGATATATATACATAAAAAGAAATCAAAGGATTGGGTTTTTCGTGAAGGGAATATGATAAGTTCGTTTGCGTTTGGTTGGAGAGAAAGTGAAAGAAAATTTTTATTGAGAGAGAAGAAAAGCACAGAGAGGTGTGATGATTGAGAGAAGAAAAGGCAAGGTGAAAATGTGAAAAAGAAAGGACTAGCCGTTTTATAATAACTAGCCGTTGGGACTCGCACGTGTGGTATTTTGACACGTGTGCTTGTGTAATTCTGTTTTCCTTGGAATCTATTTTTTGAGTAAATAATAAATTAATCCATCTAGTTTTAAGAAAGCAATTAATTAGTCTCTTTTATTTTAAAATAAATTATTTATTTTTGTTATCAATATTGATCACGTTTAATTAAATATTATTTATTTTATAAAATCTATTTTTTATCAATTTTTCTATAATATATATCTATTTGTTTTTTAAAAAATAATAAATTTTAAAAAAATATAAAATAAACAAAAAAGATTAAATAATAAATTTTTTAATAGAGAGGACTGATTAATTCATTTCTCAAAATTAAATATACTAATTTATAATTTACTCTCTCTCTCTCTTTTCCCAGTCTGTGAAACTTGATTTTATATTTAGGAAATATTTTTTGGGAAAAAATTATATGAGCGCACTAAATATTCTATTTTACTAGATTTTTTTTATGAACGTACGAGGGTAAACAATGTCAATACATTTGGGATGATTAATTTATTACTGAATCGTTTAAATTTACTTGTTAAAAAGAAAAAAGTTTTTTTTTTTATAACAAGAAATCTTAATATAATTTTAACGATTATAATGGCGATCACAAATCACTAATCACAACTTATCGCAATCGCAAGTCATAGCTTATCATAATTTTTATTACAAGAAATCCTACTATAGTTTGAAATATCGTTAAACTCTTTATAATACCACGTACTCTTAGATTAATTACACTTGCAATCACTATAACATGGTCATTTTATTAATTGAGTCCTCTATATTTAATCTGATGAATTGAAGTCCTCTATAATGCATTTCAATTATAATCGAGATACCATTAACATTGATATGTTCAAAGCGAGAAAAGATAAATGCTTAAAAATGAATTTTAACATATATATATATATATTATTATTATTTTATCCGCCAGCGTTAGATAACTTATTTAGCAAATTGTTTGTTCATGGATTCATACAAGATCAAAGGCAGAGTTTTCTTAAACACAAAACTATCGGATTTTCAATACTTTAAATGCGATTATTGCCTAAAGTCATAGCCATGATTAGCAGCAAAGTCATCCATAATTAAATACTTTAAATGCAACAAAACTAAGTCAAAAAAACACTGAGATCATTGCTTCGGTTGAAAAAACCAATTTGACATCACAGCATACGTTAAACCCTAAAGTTGTCACAGCATACGTAACCCCCTATCACTTTTCATGGACTATTATGGATTCTGGAAATCAAGCTATAAATCAAGCTATTTTCATGGATTATCTCGATCGATCGGTAGCATCACACAATCTGAAACTCTCAACAGAATGGCAGAAGTACTTCCAACAAAAAGGCACTTTTCTTTATTACCTCAACCTCTCCTCTGCAAAATGTGTTAACTCAAAAAATCAACTAATTATGAACTTCATATTCTAACCCCCATTTTTTTTTCTTATGAAATTAATTTCAGGATTGCAGTTGTTACTGGTGCAAATAAAGGGATTGGATTAGAGATATGCAGGCAGTTGGCATCTAAAGGGATCTTGGTGGTGTTAACAGCTCGAGATGAGAAAAGGGGTCTTGAAGCTGTTAAAAGTCTCAAAGAATCAGGTCTTTCTGATGCAGTTTTTCATCAACTTGATGTGATGGACGAACTCAGTATTGCTTCCTTGGCCAATTTCATCGCAACCCAATTCGGAAGGCTTGATATATTGGTAATATATTACTCAATTCCTTCTCGTCGATAAGAGTTTTTCTTGATAAATTTATATTGTTCTTAGCACTTGCATGTCTACGTACGGATTCTGATATGTTTAGGAAGCTGCAAACAGGTGAACAATGCAGGCATTACTGGAGGCGAAATTAAAGCAGAAGACTGGAAGAATTTCAAAAATGGTATTGATGATGTAAGTCTCTCTATTTGAAAATCAACAAATTTCGTTGAAATTAATTGTAATGAAATGCTGAACTTCAAATAAAATACTAGCATATGTTTTCAATTTCTAACATATTGGACTATTTATCAGATTACAGGTCCAAATGCTGTATCAAACAAAAAATATGTGAAGGAAACTTATGAAATGACACTCAGTTGCCTGAGAACAAATTATTATGGAGCCAAGCACCTAACTGAAGCATTAATTCCTATTCTTCAACAATCCAATTCTGCAAGAATTGTCAACGTTTCCTCCTCCTTGGGGAAGCTACAAGTAAGCACACCATATCCATCTATTTCAGACAGCAGATACTGTTTAATTATGGGCTTTTTCCACATTTGACTTTGAATTTTCTTTTTATTGAAACCATTTACTTTTCTCTGTTTGATTATAACTAACTACTTTTCTAAATTTTTTTTTCAAACCCTCTTTCATAACATCACTAATTCATAATCAACATATTTTCAAGATTTTTTACTCTAAAATGTCATATAATATTTATTGATTGATGCCATTATAATAGAAGGTTTAAAATAAAAAAAAATCTCATACAATAAAAAGTATCAATCAAGTTAAAAAAAAAAAAAAAAAAAAGAAAGATGATCTCAATAAAAAAAATCAAAGATTATAGAATCCAAATATGGAAAAAAACCTATTTAATTATCATACATATATATATATATATGTGTGTGTGTGTGTGTATGTATGTATGTATGTGTGTGTGTGTGGAAAAGTTCACAATCAGGCGTACTTAATACTGTAAAATTTGGTTTTCCTGCAGCTAATTCGCAATGAAAAAGCCAAAAAGGAGCTAGGTGATGTTGATGGCCTCACAGAAGAAAAAGTTGACAAGCTGGTGGAAGATTTCCTGGAGGATGTTAAGAATGATTTAGTAGAAACCAAAAGCTGGCCTACCCTTTTTTCAGCTTATTTTGTGTCCAAGGCTGCTCTTAATGCTTACATAAGGGTTTTGGCAAAGAAGTACCCGAAAATTACAACAAATGCAGTTTGTCCTGGTTTTACTAGCACAGACCTGAACGATAACACTGGAATCTTCACTGTTGAAGAAGGTGCACGAGGTCCTGTTAAGCTGGCTTTGATGCCGGATCAGCATGGCCCTTCTGGCTGCTTCTTTGTTCAGACAGAAATGTCAAATTTTGAAACATGAAGTAACCTATATGTACTTGTTTGTACGTACCTATGAACCCAACCCAAACTTCATGACCATCCAACCATAATAAGACAAAGTTTGTAATAGATGAAATTTTTTTTTTTTTTTTCAGTTTAAGGTACTTTTGCACCTTATTTGCCAAAATAAGAGAGTTTTAAACTTATTTGTAAAAATAAAGCTTTCTATGCCATGTCTTTTCTTAAGAATTACATTGGCCCCATTGTTGGACTATATATTTCTTTTGCCCTGTCTATTGTTTTCTTTTTGCCTGTCAATTGCCAACTTTTTTTTCCATTTTCTTTTTTATTAATACCAACAACAATTCACTCTGCAATAGATGTGGTAGTAATAATATTTCTGAAGTGATTAACCTAAAATGTTCGTCAGAGTGTGGTTTAGAAACGCTAGGTATTGTTTACTTGTCAAAGTGGGTACCGATTTATCATTGGATTTCCACTCCCATATAACTTTGCAATGCTGAGATGAATTTTATTTTCTTGGAAGATCATCTAATTCATCAAGTAAGCTCACCTTTAAAGACGGCAATCTGAGAACCAAACCTGGTTCCAAATCACGAGAAGCACCAACCCCACTGAACTCGACACTGTAACTGTGCCTCTCGGCTGGTTCAGATGCCCAAAGGGTGAACTGTTCTCTTGTCCACTCAAACTTGTGGAGACACCATTAACATAGGAAGTATAAGAATAATGGCACAACTGGAGTTAATCAATTTTCAAAATAACAATTCCCATGCGAGTATTATACAAGATAAATAGATCAATTTGTGTTTATATAATACTCAATATCTTTTATTTACTTCTAAATTTCTAATTGCTTAATTAAAATGCAAAAAAGAAAAAAAAACATTTTATGAAAAAAAAAGTGCTTAAAGTAATATGGTCTGTATGTTCTATTTATAAATTCTTTAAAAAAAAATCATTTCAATTTGAAGCATTTCAATTAAAAAAAAATTATGATAAAAAAAAATTGATTGAAATAATAGATTAAATATTTCAAAAAAATTAAGAACAGATAGAATGCAATTCAAAGCGTAAAGACACATAGGAGACTTTAAGTATTATATGAGAAATGATTGATCTATACATTTACCCTATTATATATATAGAATACCCATAGACAATAATATAAAATCATTACTGAAATCTCATTTAACAAATTAAATTTTTAGATTGTAATGGTTTTTTAACATAATTAATATTAGAATTTTAATGATTAAATTTTCACGAGTTTGAAATTGCATAAAAGTCTTCTTTTTCACTCCAATTTCCACGAGCAACCTCAAAAGGTTCTACATAAAGTCATAACCACACATATCACTGTTAATGATGAAACCAAATTCAATTACATAAAATCAAACTTTATCATGAAATGCATAATGCTAGAGTCCCAATTTGCTAGTTTTCTTTTCTCAGCAACCAAACAGCTAAACCATAAAAATAAATAAATAAAAGACACAACCAACGTTACATAGGAGAAGAATTAAGCAATTTTTTTTCTTAAGGACTGATTTTATGTTTTGATTTTTCTACTACTCTTAGGGTTAATTACAGCTGCGATTGCTATAACATGGTCATTTTATTAAACTACTCT